CCCAGGACGAAGCTTAACATTACAGTTCAGTTAGATGTTTCACAACATGTCATGCATTCAAGGCAGCTTTGAATACACTACACAGGCCTCCATCGGTCACATATAAAACAGTGTAGAGATCCAATTATAACACCAAAAGGGGCACATGACTCCTAGTGGTGTACATTCTGTCAGCATTACTTCTCACACAGTCAAATTACAAAACCACAATTTAATTAAGTTGAGAGACAAGTACATGAGGAGCATGGAATGCAAAGCAGTAAGTGGTGGGTGAGGGAGATTCACCTGAAAGATTACTTTGTGACACTGGCCACTTCCTCACTCTCATTTTTATCACTCGTTTGTCCCTATTGCTTCAGGGTTTTTACATCCCCCAAATCATTTTGCTCTCTCTAATAGTCCCAGAGGAGGCAAAACACATGTGGAAAAGGAGGGGGGAGTCCAAAGCAATAGGGGGGAAACGAGTGACAAAAATGACTGTGCAGAAGTGACCACTGATGGAACAAGGTGTTGAGGGACCTTAACAGATTCCCCTCCACACTTCAGTCCCTAAATTTGGCCCATTCTGCATCTAGCATTTGCTCCACTGTTTTATCAAACTCATGTTGGAACAGAAATTCCCCTCTACACTGCATGCCACTTTCACTTTCTTTGATTTTTGGATTTTATGGTAGGCTCTACACTGCATGCTGGCTTCCCTTCCTTTGATCTCTTGGTTTTATGGTACCATCTGCATAGATTTATGGCCGTTCAGGGGTGATTCTGCAGTCAGTATGGGCATTGGCCAGAGGTATTTCAATGTGGTTTTAAGCCACATCTATTTCTGTTCCAGTGTGGGTTTGGTAAAACAATGGAGTGAATGCTAGATGCAGAATGGGCCTTTCTTATTCATGGAGGTTCTGTGACCCCTCGCATGTATTATCCACAGAAAGAGGCGGGGAGGAGACTAGTGCAGGTTGAGCCAGGATTGCCCTTGTGGTGGCCTATGGCTTAGCCCTCTTTTGTGTGGGACCTTTGTTCTTTGGGGCACAACTATTACCATGTGGCCAAGCAGAGGAGGCCTGTGCTCTTTTCCCAGTGGCTTTGCCATGTTTGGCTACCACGGGCTGGGAACTGGCTTTGGTCTTTTTAGGGTGGCAGACTTCTTAGGAGGCATGGCCAAACAACAATATATATTACTTAAACTTAATGAGGCTTAGACGAAATTCAACAAACAAGTGTCCTAGTCCCACCACAAATTTACTGCATATGGGGGGGGGGGGAACTCCAAATTAAATACAGACCTTAAATTACAGGTTCGTGCAATAAATTAGAATGCAATCATTGTATTTGTAACAAATCACTGCTACTACTTAATTATGAAATACAAATTATTAAATGCTACCAAACAACAAGATCAGTTACTAGAATACCAAACAAAAATACACTCAATTTAAGTTATAACTTCTCCTTTAAAACATCAGATAGCCCAACGCTTGATAGCCAACACAGCCAGGACAAAATAATGCCTGCAGTGCCAGGCACCCCTACTGCCCCTTTAAGAAGCCCAGTACCGCTGGGTCCTGCTGATGCAGGGACCTCCAACACTGACCACTGCTGCCTGGAACTGTTCTGCTCAAACCCCAACTGCCTAATATGAACACAGGTTAGCTGGGGGATAAACAACCAGGGCGAAAGCAAAGAAGATTCACTAATTTAAAGGGGGGGGAACAGCTACCTCAAAACAGGTGATATGCTGGAGGACGTTGCCCACCGATCAGATGGAGCCCCTTTACATCCTGATCTGTAGCTAGCTGGTATCTGGAAGGGCCTCAATGAGAGGGCATGGTTACTGCTGTGATGGCCTCAGAAGTGCTCCTGATCAGAAAAAGCTAAAAGCTGAAGACCTGAAGAGAAGGTGAGCCAGCTGGAGAGCAGATTTTTAAAGGCACCAGGCAATGCTCCCCATGCCCACTCCAGCCACGTCAGCTTATGCAGCAGACCAGTCCACACATCTGGCCTTGCCCCCCAGCCTGTGGGCAGCACAAGGCTGCAAGCCATGCTTCCATTGCTTTACTCACCTCCCAGACTGCAATGAGTGTCTCCCAGTGAGTCGGGGCCATGTTTATCATCTGCTAATGTAACTAAAACAAAGTACATCTAAATGAATTTTTTGTCAACCTTGCCTTCACTTCACTTCCTCTGTTGTCTATCCTACTGTCAAAATTTAACTTCCTTGGAGGCAGGAACCTCTCTGTGTGTGTGTGCTTATGAAGCCTTCTTAAACACTATGTTCATTAATCCTTTTTTAATGCATCATTCTGCCATTATATGAGATGCAGTTTAAGTCCATACATCTCTTACATTCTAAAATTTTGTGAACATTTAACCAAATTAAATCCCATAATTTCCTTTACCATTGTGTGCTTTCCAGTACTTTGCAATACCAGTTTTGTTGCATCCAGAGTTTATAGTATTGCATCATACAGATATGTCAGAGATAATTTTTACATTGTTCAACAACAAGAAGAATCAAAAAATGAATTGGAAAAAAAATCAATATTTCAGTCATTGTTTTGCTACCATTTTCAAGAAGGTACAGCTCTATCATGTAACTATCATATATAGAATAAAGCTGCTATCCTAGAGGACACTTTTCTCAGAGTAAGCCCCATTGAATAATATCAGGCCTCGTTTTGAATAGACCTACGTAGGATTGCTCCCTCTATTTATTTATTTAGTTAGTTAGTTCAATTTGTTCACCCTTGGCATTAGCACAAACTATACTTTTCGTTACTACTTTTAGACATGGTATTAAATAGTATTTCAGTCATTGTTTTGCTACCATTTTCAAGAAGGTACAGCTCTATCATGTAACTATCATATATAGAATAAAGCTGCTATCCTAGAGGACACTTTTCTCAGAGTAAGCCCCATTGAATAATATCAGGCCTCGTTTTGAATAGACCTACGTAGGATTGCTCCCTCTATTTATTTATTTAGTTAGTTAGTTCAATTTGTTCACCCTTGGCATTAGCACAAACTATACTTTTCGTTACTACTTTTAGACATGGTATTAAATAGTATTGCATAGCCAGCTTAAAACAATTCTCTACTGGTATCCAAAACAGCTGAAAATAGGAAATATTTGGAGTATAAAAATGTGAACATAGTTAAAATATTTATGTGTGAATATATGTGTTCTATTTGATCATTTATGATGTGTGTTTGGCCAAATAAAATTCTAAAATAGTACAATAAATTTTAGAAGAAGAGAAGACATTGGATTTATACCCCGCCCTTCACTACCCAAAGGATTCTCAGAGCGATTTACAAACTCCTTTCCTTTCCCCTTCCCACAACAGACACCCTGTGAGGTAAGTGGGGCTAAGAGAGCTCTGACAAAAACTGTTCTTTTTCAAGAACAGCTGTGCCAGAACTATGGCTTGCCCAAGGTCATCCAGCCAGGTGCAATTGGAGGAGTGGGGTATCAAACCTCGTTCTCCCAGATTAGAGTCCACGCACTTAACCACTACACCAAACTGGCTAGATAGCACCTTTTTCTTCCAAATTGCCATTTTTTTCAAAATTAATAAGAGAATTCAACCTAAGCACAGTTACACCATTCTAAGCCATTGAGTTGTGTGGCAGTGTTGATATATGGAATTTACATTTTTTAGGTGATCTAAGGTGAGGTGAAGATGACAGTCCTGTACCTACATTATTCACTTTCTCATTGTATAGTTTGTTGAAGAGATAAATCAGTGGGCTTGAAATGTTTAATTATTACATTTGTTCACCCATATGGTATAATTAGGGTTGCCAGCCTCCAGGTGGGGCCTGGAGTTCTCCTGAAATTACAACTGATTTCCTAACTACACGTATCCGTTCCACTGGAGAAAAGAGGAGATTTGGAGAGTGGATTTTGTGGCATCACATCCCTGCTGAGCATACTCCCTTCCTCAAAGTTCACTCTCCCTAGGCTCTGCCCCCAAATCTCCAGGAATTTCCCCGTGGTTTTTATTTCAGTGGTGTTAGAAGTGTGTAACTCTGTTTAGGATTACACAGATAATCCGGTTTGTTACATGTTCTGAAGTAAAAGCAGAGAGTGTACACATTATCCTTCCTTCCTTATTGTTCCTTCATCTATTAATCACACCATATGCTATGGTGGAAAACTGGAGATCTCTGTTTCTGCAGACTTGGGGGAAGGGTGGATGTGGGTACCAACAGAAGAACTTGGGCTGCCAAATGCCCCCGGGGGGCGGAATTCCCCCCGCTTTTGAGCCCCGATTTCCGCTCCCGTGGAATCGGGGCCCGGGGAAAACCCCACCCCCGCGTGCGCGTCACCCGGAAGTGACATCGCACGCTGGGGGCGGGGCCACGCCATTTGAGGGGGAAACAAAGAGGTTTCCCCTCAAATAGCATGGCCCCGCACCCAGCGTGCGACGTCAATTCCGGGTGACGCACGCACGCCTAAGACGCCGGCCGGGAGCCCCCCGCTCCCGCCCAAAAAACATTTGGCAACCCTAAGAAGAACAGAGTAGGAGTTGCAGTGGCACCACCCATCTAAGGCAAATAATCTGTTAAAAAATTACAGCCCTTGTATTCATTTCAGTGAAAGTCAAATGAAGCTAATTCTATATGAAATGTACTCAGTGCCTTTGCATTATAATGATTTGCAGTTATCAAAAATATTTAGAATCTCTTGCGTATTTTTTACATTTTCCGATAATTCTTGAATTTATATGATGCACTTTAGAGAAAGCAGATGAAGATGGGTAGCCATGATAGTCCATCTATAGCAGTAGAAAAGAGTAAGAGTCCAGTAGTAATTTAAAGACTAAGAAAATTTGTGGCAGGGTATGAGCTTTCATGAGTCACCACTAATTTCTTCAGTTATCTGATGAGGTTTAGAGAAAGCAGTTTCTAAATTTTTATATATATATATATATTTTAGATATTTCCACACCATATACTTGGGCATCCGGAGTCGACAGAGTGGAGAAAATGAAAGATGGCGCTTTTATTGGAAAATGGTCTATGAATATGCAGATGTGAGTATGCTGCATTTGCTTGCCACATTCCTGGAAAGTGCTCCACAGCTAGTCCTGCAGCTCTGCATTGTTGTGCAGACGCGTACGCTTCAGGCCCTCCAAGGTAAGTAAGGACTCATTTATTGACTTGTACCATTCTGAACATATTCAGAAATACTTTCATCTGTATAAAATCTGCTACCATCATGTTGACCTTGGAATAGGGGTGCCAATTCTGGCTTAGAAAATTTGTGGAGATTTGGTGGGCAGAGCCTAGGGAAAGGTCGGTCATAAATGTGTGTGGGAGGGAAGAAAAGAGGAGTGTAGGGTTGTTACTGTCAGCATGGATTTAATATGCTTTGTTTGGAATCCAGATGCTCTGTTTATATATGACCAAGTTTAATCCCTAGTACGGAGTCTATAAATTAATTTTCTGTGAATCCTGAAAACATGTGAAACATGAATCTAGCCACTCTGGCTTATTTCTGAACTGGGGGATGCCCATCTTTGTTTTTCTCTTGGCCTACCAAAAATTCATCCAAATGGCCATATCATCTTGGTTAATCAACTGAAAAGGATTTCAGAAATGTAGGCCTAGGCCCTAATAATCTCTCCTTACATATAATTCTCTTTTCGTGTGACTCTTTTCTGAATGTTCCACATGCTCCCAAATCAATCGGGTCCCTGAACTGCCACATATAAACAGGTCCCTGGCCATTGGCTGCATTGCCTTCGTCCCGCCCACAAAACCGGCGCCGGCCAAAACTTTCCTCATTTCCTCAGAAGGCACAGGCTCGGCGCTGCTCCTTTGCACTGCCGCTGAAGCCAGTGCCCACACGGGAAGTGCCCACCACTCCCTGCCCTGCCTCTTGCCCACTGCTCATTTCGGGAACAGGAGCCGCACGCACTTCACTCCGATCCAGGCAGGTGCCACCATCATGTAAAAGCCCGCCCCCAATGCCATCGGGCCGTGCTTCTGACGGGCGGCACCACCTCGGTCTGCTGCCCTAGCACCCTCAAAATGGAGGGGCAGGCCAGGAAAGCTGACGAAAGAAGCACCAGTATTGTGGGGCCAATCCAGCGCAGATGTCGTTAGCTGTGAGCCATCATCGCATCCCTTCCCTGCCTTGCAGCGGCTTCCTCCCCCCCCATCGCCACCAGCCAGGCTGCCTGTGGAGGCGCACCAGAGCTCCGGGGGCCTCTTGGTGCAGCACGCCCTGCCCCTGCTTGGCGGGTTAAGTGCAGCCAGCCCTCCTCCCTTGCCTCTGTCCCTTGAGTTCAGGTTGCCCTACTGAGCTGCGGAAGTGGCTGAAGGCGGTGGGGACCCCTCCCCAAATGGTCATCCCATTTCTATACTGGCGGTAGCTGCCCTCAGCGGTTCTATCTTGGCAGTGGCTGCTTGTGTGCTGGCTTGCAGCATCAGCTGGCAGCCACAGGGGGAAAAGCCACATCATGAGCTTCCCAAAAAGCCGCCTCCTTCTCCATCTCCCCCATCCCCAACCTCCAGACTGTACTGAGTGAGCTGCAGGAAGGGGCAAGGGCAAACCCGGCAGGCACAGAGAGAGGGAGGCTGCAAGGACCCTCCCCCCGCTGCAAGCCCTTGGGAGCCTGTCACACATTACTTTAAAAGAAAGCTGTCCCCCTAAAACAATGGCACGTGTGAATTTAACATGCAACGGGGTTGCACACTGATGTACAGGATCAAGGTGCTAGCATTTTCTGCAGGGCCCATTGTCTGGCAAACTCTGACTCACCCCGACCTGATTTGTGAAATGGCTTTCAGCTTACAGAGATCATGCTCATATAGGGACACTCTCCCAGAGCCTCTTTCTAGAGCTCCTTGTATTTACTTCCACAATGGGCCTTATTCCTAGTGATAACATAAAAGGAAGCATTCTAATACAAGAATTTTTGTAAAAATGAGATGCAGTGTCATATCTGTTGCCTTGGTTTTGAATCCAGGAAAAGAACAATGCAGTACTGTGCAGTATATTGAATACATACAGATTTGCATTCTGTACTTGAGATGAGGAAATCTTTTTGGTGAACCTGGATACTGTAATTATTTAAGTTTAATTGTTCTTGCTGAGATAGTGGTAGAAACTGGAAACATTTTGATCTCAGCTCTGGTTATAATAACCTTCAAATAATCCTTGTTCAGGAAAATTGAGCAATTTTACCTCAGTGTATGTATTATTTGTTTTTATTCCCCAAATCTCATCTTCAAGGATTTTATTTAATAACATTTCCTGACATTGCATGAGCATTAAAAAGCATAGCTATCTTGGGCTCTGTTAGAAGTAGTACTGTCTCTTAAATTGTGCATTCTGCTGTCTGAAAGATTTACAAAGAATACCATAATTTCTTTCTGTTTGTAGCATACTTTGTTACCACAAAAAAGTGCCCTTGTAGTAATGATGCCCCTGGCCATAATTTATGGATCTATCCTTTGCCTTTATACTGTATATCACTTAATATTCTTTGTCTTCTTAAATGCAATAGTAGCAGGGGTTATTTCGTAGAAAAAGAGCTAGGGGGACTCATTAGCATAACTCATTAGCATATGCCACACCCCCTGACATCACTGGAAGTGTGTCCTCCCCACAGCCGGCAGCGACCTCCAGCGGGCACCAGCAGGGAGCTCCAGGCCCCACCCTCCCGCACCTCACCCGGGGGGATGGCGTCCCCCCGCGTCCCCCCCCAAATGACCCCTGAATAGTAGACTTCTCATTACGTTTGGGTATTTTTAACTTTATTCTTATGGTTCACAGCACCATTTTAAAGGAAATAATCATAGCTGTTTTCACGTGGTCGAAAACAATGCAGAATGAAAAGATTAATAGGACCATGCCCTCCTTTATGAACAGAGCCTACACATGTACAACTTGTATATGCTTCTAGGCTCTGGTACGTACCGAATTGATGACTGCATGGAATATGAGAATGAAGCAGCAGGGACAGTCTCTGTCCCTTATTATACCTCCTTCATTGTTTATGGTTTCTGACCTACATAATAATCTTTGAAAATCTGATTTAATTTTAGGGATTAGTAACTCCTTTCTAAATTTTTCTGGTACAGTGGTTCCCAATCTGTGGGCCACAGAACCGCAGGGGCATGGAGTTATTGCAAGAGGTCTACAAATACATCCAGTTTGGGCAGGTTTCCTCTTTCACCTATCTGTGGCTTCCCCCTGGGCTTGCTTCTTTGGCAGCCATGTTCCCCCAGCTCTGTGTCGGGCTGACTGCCAGCCGGATTTAATATGCCAGCTATATTACCACAGCATAGTGATGCCTCTCCAACTGGGTCCACCTGCTCCAAGCTCTATCCAGCCAGGTGGCATCAAGCCAGCCTCACCTGGAAACCCCCAAAGAGGCACTGACCTAGTCAGGGCTGCTTGAGAAGAACTGCTCATCATGAGTGGTTTGGTGGGGCATATTTTCTGCACTTGTTGCATTGAAATCTAGATACTGAAACAAGTTGAATATGGAACCACATATGGAACCAGATTAAAGGATAAACCTTCCATCACTTTTACCAGATTTATAATCTTTAAAAACTGCAAAACAGCACTAGCTTTTTCATTAAAAAACATGTGTAAACAAAAGCAATCATACTTTCTATAGACTGAATAAATAATATGTCTCACATGTAGATAACATCTATATATCTCTCAAGTGTAGCCCCATCTGTGGATATCTAAATCCATGGATCAGGGCCACACAGAAAGAAAACAGGTACTTCTGCAACTTTCGGGGACCCTCCAAGTTTGCACAAAAATCTGAAACTAAACAAAAAATTAAATTGGGGGCCTGGTGGGAGGGAGGCAGCCTAGCAGGGGTGAGTGGAAGCTTCAGGGAGCCATTGAAAGTGGTGATGGGGGGGAAACTTCAGCAACAGGGGAGGAAACCTCAGCAGGCCCGCCTGGAGCCCTGCAGTGGCAGCGATGGCAGAAAGAGAGTGAAAGAGTCATGGGGGGCAGAAAGATAGAGAAAAAGTGGTAGAGTGCAGGCAGAAATAGAAAGAGAGTGATGGGGTAGGGGGCACAAAGAGTGCAGAGGGAGAAAGAGAGTGATGAGTTAGGGGACAGTGTTAACCTGCATGATTTCCTGTACTATGAAAGAGACCTTTTAATCTCATTCGGGGGAAAGCACTTCTGGGAAAAAGGGGCTTGGGACACTAGTTTATATAATTTCATGGGATTTTATTGGTATATAAACTTTAACAAGTATTTTTCTTCCTTTATTATATGAAAAAAAATTCCAGAATGTACCCCAGCACAACTAAATACCCAGAGCATATAGCTTAACGTAGATTAACCCTACCTAGTAGGGATGGGCACAAACTGGCTCATGAACATAAATGCATGATGAATTTTGTCTGGCTCATTTTTTCAAAGTTCACAAACTGAAGAGCTACCACGAACTTCCACAAATTTTAAGGCAGTTTATGGTGGTTCGTGAAGAGCAGCAAGCAGGGGTTTAAATGGCTCTGAGCCTTTTAAACCTCTGCTTTCTGCTTTTCACAAAAAAACAGCAGCAGGGAGCAGAAAGCAGGGGCTTAAATGCTCGGCGCCATTTAAACCCCTGCTTGCTGCTCCCCATGAAAAGTGGCTGGAAGCAGAAATGGCTTGGAAGTATTTAAATGCCTGCTTTCTTCTTTCCATGAACAGTGGCAGGGAGCAGAATGCAGGGGGGTTAACTGGCTTGGAGTCATTTAAATGCCTGCTTTCTGCTTCCCATGGGAACCAGAAAGCAGGGGTCACAAACCACTGTGAACTAGTTTGGTTTGCAAACCAATCTCTCAGTTCGTATCAGTTTGTGGTTTGGTTCCTTCTACCTAGATTAAAACATTAAGTTTGTGCCGATTAATGTAGAACAATAATAGAAGGGGGGGGGGGGGGGGACAGTCCACCAGAAGAGGGCAGCGAAGCACACACAAAGATGCCCAAAAGTTGCTTTGTTGGAAGGGCCTTTCCTCCAGCAAGGGGTTTCCTTTCAGATGAGTACCTGAAAGAGAGGAATTGAGCAGGAGCTGCTTGTATCCTCTGTCACTGATTCCCTACTGGAGACCTCCTAATACAGGGCTGTGAAACATGTGGCCCGGGGGCCAGATCAGGCCCCCGG